CACATGACTAAAGCGAACTGTTAGAGCATAAGCTTTGCAAGGAAAATCCATAAAGGCATTATTGCATCTATTTCGTGCAAAAAGTAATAAAAAGCTTTGAAAATCAAGTCACAAACTGCCGCGAGCGACACTTCCTCGCCGCGCGGCGATGCTCTCAACAATGTCGGTGGAGCGCGGAATCTGATAATAGGGGATATTCATGCTTTATCTTTCTTCGTCATCAGTTCTGTCTCTTGATAACGAATAAACAGACCCAAGGTTCTGAAGCGACGAATGCCGACGTAGGTTCCAAATATTGAGAATTTTATTGCACGGGATGAGTTTTATCTTTAGTTTCGGTTTGCTTGATGATGATGACGATGACGAATATATCGGTCACGAAGATCTGCAGTTTAAGCGATACGCTTTCCCGAGTGTTCAGCCACTAGACAGGGTGTTGTGAGTCGAATTTTCGCTGTACGTATGATATAGGCAATTTACCAACGCAAACATCGCAATTTTTGCGTCTTCTCAGGCGCGCGGTTTGGCGTTTTTAGTGAATAAAAAACTGTACGTAATGAGAAATGAATGACATTTCTTCTGTCCAAGATCGCTCGCGAAGAAGTTTTTGCTTAGGAGCTTATTTTGCAAACTTCAGCGGGCAAATTTTCAGGTCAGCAGCCCTCCATACTACATTGTCAAGGCTGCTTCGTGGAAAGAGCCTGTCACCTGAAAAAAGCGAATTTGGCGATGAATCGTTTAGCAAAAAACCAGATTTTCCGTCGCCACCAAGCAATGTTTGTCTTCAAAATATTTAACTCCTTTTTTGCTTACTTAATCGTGCTATATTTAGATCATCGAAACCAGACCATTAGAGCGTGGAAGCTCTCCAGAAGAGATTGCACAATACTACATTGAAAGAGCTCGGAAGCACTTTGAAGAAGAGCCTAAGGAAAGAGTTTTGGTCATATCAAACACCAGATTTTTAAAGTATGTTTGGGAATTGTCTTTGCTTTTTGATCTGTCCAACTTATGGTTGTCATCCTTAATGGCAGTCACTAGTAGTTAAATGCCATTACGAATATGTATAGGCGAGTCATAGCACGCAGAGACAGGATGTCATTGCGTCTATTGAACTAGCTCTCACCTCTCTTACCATCTGCTGCCTCTTCCAAACATTTACTGCCTCAGTAGACGCAACTGCGGCCAATCTCTGCGTGCGCTGACTCGTCTATGCATGTGGATTTAGATGGCTTTTGTCGCAACGCACTTTAAGATAGAAAATTTTTTTTCCAGGAAATTACCTGTAGTTGCTGCTGCTGAACATACTCAAGAGCACCAACTAAACCTTCATGATAAGATTGCTGAACCGACAACTGTAGCCAATGCTGTTGTAAGTATTTCGACCTAAATTATTGTGCATTTTCAAGTATCAATATATTTTTTGTAGACATCTCCTACGGCAACTACCTCGAAACTACCGAATTCTCTGGAGGAATGTTACCCGCGTGAATTGAAACTAGCGGAGGGTTGTGATAAGGCTAAGAAAATGATGGAAGAGAATAAGGACCAGGTAAGTTGTTCCATTTTAGCTTAGATTATCCAAAATTGTTATTCAGAAAAATCTACGGGTGCTTACTAAGCGTACTATTATTGAGAGGGTTACTGTGGAGTCCAAAAGAACAGCGAATGAGGAAGGAATTCGAGCGGTTGCTGAATTTTTTGTCAAATTGTTTGCTGGGAAGCCAGTCATTGGGTAATTTTTTGGATAATAATTATATGAAGAGACTATTCTAATTTTTTTGTGTAAATAACCACGAAGCTCCGTATTGTTCCTGGCCTTAGACGTGTAAAAATA